TCCTGTCCTCAGATTTATCCTACAATGAAATAAATTTCCAGTAAGTAAATTCCTATGACCTATTAGGTAAACTCTGAAAATAATAAAAAACACACAAAACCAAGACGGACTTGCTAAACAGCAAGAGCTACTACCAACAACCAATGAGCTAATAGATAGTTCAACGGCCAAAAAGTTTTCCAAACTATACACAGACAAACAATCACAGTTTCAGATAGTCAATAAAATGAGAGAATCAAACTGGGATAAGATAACAGTGAAATATTTCTGCAACCCATTTCAAGAAAGTCCAGAGATAGCTAAAATGAGAAGGAAAGCACTGAAGCTGGAAAAGTAAAACGCAATCAGTACAAAAGAGATTTTTACATTAACAATGAGAAAGTTTCCAACTGACAAAAGACTTTAGTGACAGCATGAGTTTTAGAACAAAGAGGATCAAATGGAAATCAAGTTACATATTTATTTGAATTGTCAATGGTAACAGCGATTTAAAAAAAACCAAACAAAAAAACCCATCATTCGCATATTCACATTACAGCAGCATTCCATGGGGGCCTCATGCAAGGTCTTCTCCTTAATATTCTAAGCTGACAATTGTTTGTGATGTACTTGGTTTATATGAACATGTTCCCAGCTATGAACTGTGGAAAAATTTCTTTCTAGAAGTAGTTATAGGCAGCAAGTCAGCATCATGCGTATCAGTCAGCATCAACTAGCAGCATTAAGAATTAGATGCACCATACAAAGACACCGGAAAAAAAGAGAACCAGAACTGAAGTAAAATTGGAAAGCTTCCTCAAATTCTTTAGGTTTACAACTTCAAAAATGGGAACAGATATTTAAAACACTGGAATGGAGGTGTATTACTGCTTAGTAACTGTTCAGTAGGATTAGTAAAATGAAAACATCAGAAAGTCTGCAAAGCAGAGTTCTATATTAGTGTATTTGAAATGCTCTTAATCCATACATTAAAAAGAAAAGCTTATAATCACAAAGGAACACTTAAAAACACATATACCAACAAGCCAACAGCTACACAGCCCTTTTTATTTCTCCCAAGAAACGAAGAATTTTACACCTCAGTTATTGGCACTGCGAAGGCTGTAATACTGAAAAAATACTGAAAAATTGAAAGATCATACGAAACCATGCTTACTTACACATACACACAAAGACCTGAAAGCTAGACTACATGAATGGAGACTCGGATCTTTTTCAGTGGCTGCCTAAGTGATTAAAATATTTTTTTTCCTGTCCTAACACACTGCTTTAAATTGTAAGCTTATTTTATCCCGTTTTGTTACAGTGATGAGATACAATCCTATGTACAGTTGCTTCGACATTCAAGTAGTTCCGCTCAGTACCAAACTACCACCTAACACCCGTGAATCGGTGCCCACACTTCTACGCAATAACAAGGACCTACTCCAACAGTGGTGGAATGTACCTGCAGATACTGACAGAAGCACCTGAAAATGATACTTCAGGTAAATGAATGTTCCCACAAGGAACGTGTGAAGACGAGCCGGAACGTTCAGACACCGTGCATCGCCGACACGACGCGATGACGGGACGCACAACGAACTCGACCACCTCCTCTCCCTCCCCTCTTCCCAAGTGACTCTCACCTTTGCCGCTAACTTTTTTGGTTTCGGCTCTGCTTTGGCAGGAGCAGGTTTCTGAGAAGAAAGAACAAGTAAGGGAGAGATTCGGCCCTCGGTAATCCCCTCTTCGGTGCAGGGCGGCGCACGCACACCCCCGCCCAGCCCGGCAGGGAAACCCCCCTCTCCCCCCGGTACTCACGGCGGACAGCCGCGCCGATCGCCCCTTCGGCTGCAGACAGGGAAAAGAGAGGGAAACGGCGTGAGCGGGCGGCGGGCGGGCCGGGAGCGGCCCGGGGCGGGCCCCCCTGGCC